TCAGCAGGATTTCCCAACCTCCCAACCAGTATGTTTTAAGTTGCATGTCTTTCCAAATGCATGTAAATGCCATGACTTATAAAATATAATTTTGTTTTCAAGTAATACTGAAGCCCTAGTAGCTTCGATAATTTTCTAGTATCAGTTAATGGATATTAAATATACAGCTGCTCTCATGTGGAGACTGGAGAAGTATTTTGAGGTTGAAAGAGGGGCTCATATTTAAAGACTTTAATTTGGAAACTCTCAGGTAGAGGGTTGGGCAAAGTGTTTTCTAAAGTGCCTTTCAACTCTTCTAAGTTTTTCTAATAAGTTTCTTGGTAGATGTCATCATTCAGCAAATAATGATGGTTGACTTACTATGTGCCTCGCACTGTTATAGTCCTTGCTTACATTTTAGGGGAAGCAGACGGTGAACCAGGAGAAGCATTTAGGCTGTGTAGGGTATAGTGAAAGAAGTGAAACTAGATGAGGTGATGGAGAGTGGCTTTGCGGGTGGGCCAACGCATCTGTCAGGGAGAGTCAAATCTTCCCCTGCTGCGCATGGAATGCAGGGCGGGAGCAGGCCCTGCTGACCTCAAATTTACAGAAGCCCAGTGGCCAGGAGAGATCGCTCCCTCTTGGGCTGCCTGAACACAGGTTCTGTGGCTGGCCAGGAGACCTGCAGTAGGGCATGGTGATCACTGGCAGGCCTCAGCCTGGTCTGGGTGGCCATGCTGAAGACACCGGTAAGGGCCTGTGGCTTTACACTCTTCTTCTCAAGAGAAGGTTTTGACAGGGGGTTCTCCTGCTCCCTTCTGTATAGAGGAAGTGTGTCTCCATATGTGTGGTGGGGAAGCCCAGGTGGCTCCCCTTGTTTGTGTTCACTGTCCACAGCACTGAGCAGTGCTGCAGGCCACTCAACACCGGGCCCTCTTTCTCAGCCTCTGAATCTTCCCAAGAACTAGTACACAGGAGCAAATGCCTCTCCGTTCAGGTTGCATGCCACTTGCTGGATGTCTGTCTCCTTTCTCTGTACTCACTCCCCAACCCACACTCCCCCTCCCCTCCCCTCTGTTAGAAAGGCCTGCAGCTGAGGGTTTCTCAATGAGGCACTCCCACTGTGACCAATGGGGTTGGACCCCACTGAGTGTCACTGTCTTAGAGGGACATGCTCAGTGGACTCATGACTGTGACTCCCTGCACTCCGAGCACAGTCTGTACTTCTCCTGTCTCTGGAAGGGAAGGGTTAGTAGCTTGAATCACCTGGGATGTCAGGCCTTTCTTTTCCTTTCTTCTTAGGGCAGACTACCCTGTCACATTAATTTCTGGTCACCACACTCAGAGGGTATATATATGTAGATTCAATTGGAAAATCACAGGGTGCTGAGGCACCGGCCAATATATGTTGTAGAGGGTCTGCTCCAGGCCAGGTGGTCTTCTATGTGCATTCTGTCATTGAATCTTAATGACTGCTCTGGTCTCAGAGATAGAAAACCAAGGCTCCAAGAGGCTAAGTCACTTGCTAAGTCACAGAACCAGTGAGTGGTGGACCCCCCCAGGGCTCTCTGCCTTGTGCTGTGCTGCCTCAGAGGAGAGAAAGGGGGACTCGGTTTAGACAGGCCAGCTGGCTTCAGGAGTTGGAGAGGGACTGGCATTCCCCTTGTTGTGTAATATTGCCAGGTAAAATACAGGACACCCAGTTAAATTTGACATTCAGAGAAAGTAGATAGTTTGTTTTTTTGTTTTTTTTTTTTAAGTATGTCCCATGCAATCTTTGGGGCACAATTATACTAAAATAGTTATTTGTTATTTCTCTGAAATTTAAACTTAACTGGATATTCTGTGTTTTTGTTTCATGTAGCAATCCTACTTGGGGACTCAGGAAGCACACTGGGCCTGATGTATGGGCAACTGAGGATGACACAGTGTGACGCACAAGCCACCCTGGAAAAGCCCAGGCCACACAGTAAGTGGTGAGTGCGTTGCTACGGCTTGTGCTCAGGTGTAGGCTGGGGACCATTTGGTGGAGGGCATTTGGGTTTCAGATGCCTGGTCCAGTGAGATTCTGAGAAGAAAACACCATTGAGGAGAGTTGGCCACGTGCGTCCTCACTGAACTCTGTCCCATCCAGTGTTCAGAGGCTCCCTGACGTCATTTGCCATCAGCACATGTTGAGAGGACCACTTTTCCCCGTCGGCCAGGAGTGATGGATGGCCTCAGTCAGCTGGTGGACACTAACCCAGCCAACAAGTTCTCCTTTAGTGGTTTGGTTTGGCTTGAAGAAGCACTGTGTTAAAAGTGACATGAAACACACATTTTTGTCTCTCTTGCTGAAAACCGACTGTGACTTCCTGGTTCTTTATGTGTCTCCTGCAGCAGAGTGTGACTTGTGTGACCTGCTCAGGACTGACGTGGCCAGCATCTCTTCTGGGCAGTGAAAGCATGAAAAACACCCACCCTCCTGATTCTGCACATGCCCTTGCAGGCAAGGAAGTGGAAACAGAGAAGCTTCGATGTTCATTTATCCTGTTATACAGATTCTCTAGGTGCGGCTCCATCTCGTCAAGTCGGGGTTCTCAACAGCCTGCTTGTAATTACCCGGTGTGACTTCTGCCCTCTTGGGAGGCCTGCTTTTGCCCCACTACTTCCCAGGCCTTTGTGGGCGCTGGGTGTCAGAAACACATTTTGATGTTAGCTTGGGCCAGAAAGGAGTCGGAGGCAAATCTGCAGAAGTAAAATCTTATCAGACATTCCAGAACAGATGGAAATGGCTGCCTTCCATTCAAATTGACTTAATTATCAAATTGAAAAGTTATTATTAATTTAAAATAAAATGTTAAGTTAAGTACCGAGTCAAAATACCCAGTGTATCAAAAGATTTTAAAAAAATTTGTATTGATGCTATTAACTGAAATTACCTATTCTTTTTATTACCTTATGTTTAATTGACGTCTTTGTAAGCAGCAGGTACCTTCTGCTTGTGTTTTCTAGGAACAATCACCGAATGGCTAACATTTGACAACATGCACCACCAGTGGCTTCTGCTGGCCGCATGCTTTTGGGTGATTTTTATGTTCATGGTGGCCAGCAAATTCATCACGTTGACCTTTAAAGACCCTGATGGTATGTATGCTATCTTGGGGAATGGCTTTGGCTAATTCAGATTTGCCTGTGATGTTGTTCCTGGGTACATGTACGAATGACTCCAAGGACTTTCATGCCAGAAAGGACTTTGGTGGTCATGGCATCCAAATCCTTCATGTTATAAAGGTGCTAGGGAGAGGAGGAAAGGGACGACCCTTTCCCAGCACTGACCCTGGGGGTGGGCAGAACTTGCTTGGTTTGTGGATTCTTTGGCACCTCCTCCAAGACATCCCTAAGGCTCAGGACCTGGGAATTCGCCCTGCTTGGTGGTGGTGTGAGATGCTGCCGTGACTGATCACACCTGTGCCAGCTGGTGCTTCATGGTGCTGGCCATGTGTATGAAGGTCGCCTCAGTGCACTGGAAGGAAGGTTATTTAAAAATGTGTATGTCGGGTTGTCTGTGAAGATTTTTAACTCCCCTTGATTTGATGTAGCTGTTCAGATGAGGACACAGCCCGGCCGTAGCAGAGCTGCTTCTAGGTCATGCTCCTCTCCTTTGCTTACTTAGGCCTTAGTGTTTTTTCTAGCAAATGGATGTGCTACTTGCTCTAACAGCCTCTAAGACTGACCTGGGCATGGGGAGACGCTGAGTGATCTGTGAAGTGCTGGGTATCTGTAAGGAGGTGTGGCGATGGTCATCTTGAACACCGAGGCCACTCCTTTCAGTGGCAGGTGAGGTGAGGCACAGGGGAGATAAAGATTCACAAGCAGCTTTTGATAGGACTAACGATGATGTCTGCCTAAGAGGTAGGACACTTGTGACTGGTGTGCATAGCATCTTTATTCTGCACAAAACTTTGCACATCCTTTTCCAGATGGCAGCTCTTAGGGAGATTAGAGAAGTATCCACGTGAGCAGTTTTCCCGATTTCCTCTTTGCAGCTGCACGACCTGTGCCATCCGTGTGACCAGCAGGCTGTAGGCCCAGCTTGCCCAAGAGCTCCTAGATGTGTTCTTTCGGTGCTGAGGGCTGCCCTGTGCCCCCACTTCCTGCTCCCAGTCTCTCTGTCATCCCCACCATCTGTCTAGGAAAAACAAAGTCGGGAGGCAGATCTTCAGGCAGAGGAGGATAGCCCTAAAATCAGCATCAAGGGTTGTTCTCAGCTCCATAGTTGCTGCTCAGTAACAGTTATTTGGCCCTCAGTGCTTGGCACCCCAGCAGGCTGTCACCACAAGTACCTCCTCATCTTCCAGGGGTCCTCGTGAGGACCCAAGTGTTTCACAGCCTCAGGAAGGTGATGTCACACCTGCCCGTGTCCAGGGTAGCCAGAAGCTTCATGGATAATCATGCTAACCCCAGGGATCAGGGCCTCTGTCTGAATAGCAAGGGCCCAGTCTTGGAGGGTTGTTGGAGTTTGAGACCATGATCTCAGCTTGACAGTTTGGTGTTTCTCCCGCTGCTCCAGCTCAATTATGTTACTGAGAATGGCAACCCCTTGTTAAGCGTTAGAGTAGTGTTTCTCCTCCACACCCCCCTTCACCCCTGCACCTCAGAATCCTTGAGAAACTTTGTAAACCTTGCTGCTTGGACCCAACCAGAGACCAAATAACAGAATCTAGGTGTGGGGCCCAGGGGAGAACCCCAAGTATAGAACAAAACTGGGAATTGAAAGCTGCTGAGAATATGAAATCCATGTTACTAAGATCTACATGTTTTATTCCTGATTCCTTTAAATGTCACCTCCTGGTAAGGAAGGCACTTAAAAGGCAGGTCACGAGGTTGTTTATGGTTTAGTTTATTTTAAAAAGTAGAAGAATAGGGAATGTATTTATGAGACTTCACCAAAAATAATTAGGTGTATTTTGAGTTTTAATATTCTCTGGCAGTATAGCCTCTCTTTAGAGGCTATAGCACCTCATCCTCAGTGGTATCTGATAAATGAGATGTTATTTTGCTTTTATGTAGCAAGTTTTATGCTGAGTGTTTTCAGAGAACTGTAGATGCTCAGAGGGTTTTGTGAAGAGGAGCATAAAATTAGAGGGAAAGAAGGGAAAATCTATGGGGAAGGATGAGAAGCTTTAGGATTTTGAGCCTGAGAGATCTGTTCCTGACTTTGTGCTGCGCATCCAGTCTCCCCAACCTTGTAAGGTGAGCTGTACTTCCTTGTGCTCTTTGATATGCGGTATGGCCACGTGATTGCCGTGGTTAGCAGACCAGAGCACACTGGTGTGGACCATTCCACGTAGGGACTTCAGGGCCAATGGACACTTGGCCCCACTCCCCTTTCCCGCTCAGGGAAGCATGGAGAGGGCCCCCCAGGCGGGTCCCTGGTGAGGGTGATGTCAGCTCTGCGTTGTGCAGTGAACTCAAGATTAGAACCCATTGTCGTTGGGTCCACAGCAGAGCCACAGCATAGGCAAAGGAACCGCTCGCTCTTTGATCGTACTGGGGGGTAATGGCATCTGCTGGAAATAAATGGTTCATGGCAAAGCAATGGAAAAACCAAACCGTGCATAAATTGTGCTATCAGTTTTATTTGAATCTAGTTGAATCAAGGTCGAGGGGATTTGGGGAGCAAATACCAGGAAGTTTAAAACCAGAAAAATGTTAAAAATTGGCAGATGACTGGCCGTTGTGTGAGATGTTCCACAGATACCAAAGGCTGTTCTGTGTGCTTCTGAGTGAGTAAAATAGGTGGCTTTTCAAAAATTAATTGATAAATCAATTGCTTAGAATTCAGGTTGCATTGTCCTGTCTAAAATGTTTTTAAGAAAGCTTAGGTTTCTATAAGACCCATTAAACTTATGGCAGAGCTAAGCATTGCAGTGCTTGTAGAAGACATTGTTGGAACAGGAAGTGACCAGACAGGAGTGGAATGTGACTTTTTCATTAGCACACCAGTGCTTTGGGGTGACAAGGTTGTGGAGGAAGAGTAGGGACAGATGTTGGTCCCTCCAAGTGCATTCAGCACTTTGGGCTGATGGCACTGATACTTTTGTTTAGTTTTGCACTGCAGATGGCACTCTGTCCTCATGGCAGGGCCAGAAGAGCTCCCATGCACAGCTTCAGTTAGGTTGCATTTTAACTCAAACAGGGAAAGGAAGGGTAAAAAATTTTAGTGGGATTCATAAAGGTGTGTGGCAGAGAGATTCATTTTGGGGTCAGATAACTCCCCAATGGGGAGATGGGATTTCTGTTGTTGTCAGGGCCCTGGGAGGATGCTTTCATCCTTCCTGTGCAGGGCAGGTGCTTGCTCTTCACAGTTGTGCTGGCTGGGGAGGGGGACGTGGTAAGTGGGGCATGTTCAACAGCCAGGTGGGGCCTGCAGGAGAGTGTGCAAAGTGTTGGTATTCATGACTTAAGAGGACTAGGTTTTGATATTTTTTTAAAAAGTGAACTGCACCTTTGTTCATACATTGTTATGCTGACTTCTATGCTTTTATTTGATAGCTATTTTTTCTTTCTAATTATGTATTAAGCTTTGCAAAATTTTGAAAGTAAATGTTTCTTTGATTGTAGAGATCTGAAAATTATCTTCAAATTCTGCCCTGAAGGTTTCCTAGAAACCAGTTTGCTGTAATTCTTACTCTGGAATTGCATTTTGTGAAATTCCTCTAGTCTCACCTCAGTTCCCATGGATTTTTAAACTAATGAGTAAGCACTAACTTAACTGCTAATTTGACTTTTTTTTAAATTAAACTTTTTATTTCGCTATCATTGTGGAGTCGCATGCAGTTGTAAGAAGTAACAGAGAGCGTTCCATGTCCCCTGACTCAGTTTTCCCCAGGGGTAACATCTGTAGAACACAGAGCAGCTTCACAAGCAGGATTTTGATATTGATACAATCAAGATGCGCATACCTTCACCACCACAGGGGGCCCTGTGGTGGCCCTTTCATAGCCACACCCACCTCTCTCCGCACTGCCATCCCTACCTGTTCTCCCCAGCAACCACCGATCTCCTCCATCATTTTGTCATTTCAAGAATATATGCATATGCAGTACGTGACCTTTCCGGATTGGCGTTTTTTCACTCAATATTAAAAATCTCTGGGGATTCATCCACCTTGTTGCGTCTGTCAGTAGTTTGTTGCTTTTTATTGCTGTGTAGTATTCGGTGGTGAGTGTATCCCCGTTCGTTTAACTCTTGGGGCTATTACAAATGAAGCTGCTCCAAACTTTTGGTATAAGGTTTTGCATGAACGTAAATTCTCTGGGATAAATGCCTGGGAATGCAATTGCTAGGTTGTGTGGTAGTTGCATGCTTCATTTTTTAAGAAATGACAAAAATATTTTCTGGAATGGCTGGGCCATTTTATATTACTATCAGCAGTGTATGAGTGATTCATTTCTCTTTGCCTCCTCCCTAGCATTTGGTATTTTCACTGTTTTGTAGTTCAGCCATTTTGATAAGTATGTAGTGGCATTACACTGTGGTATTAATTTGCATTTGCCTGATGGCTATTGATGTTGAACATCCTTTCAGGTGTTTGTTACCTGTATATCTTCTTTAGTGAAACATTTGTCCATGCCTTGCTCATTATATAACTGGGTTTTTTTTTTAACTATTAAGTTTTGAGAGTTCTTTTCATATTCTAGATTCTTCTTTGTCAAATACATGGTTTGCAAATATTTCCTCTGTCTATATAGCTTGTCTTTCCATGCTCTTTATTGGGTGTTTCTTAGAGCAAAATTTTTTATTTTGAGGAGATTTATTTTATTGATTTTTCCAAAGATTTTCTCCTATGTTTTTAAAAATGTTTTATAATTTTTATGTGTCTATAGATGTCCAATTGCTCAAGTACCACTTGTTGAAAAGACTTCCTCTTCTGAATTACTTTTGCCCCTGTCATACCAGCTGGGCATATTTGGGTGGCTCTGTTTCTGGGGCCTTTTATCCGTTGCAGTAATCTGTGTGTTTGCTCCTCCATGAGAAGATGTTCTGACTACTCTGTCTCCTAGCCTACAGCGCCAAACAGGAGTTCCTGTTCCTGACAGCCATGCCAGATATGGGGAAGTCGCCAGGAGAGAATCGCTTTCCTGAGGAACTGAAGGTGGGCAAAGCCAGGAGGAGGGCAATATCTCCTCCACCCCGTCAGCAGAGGAGCAGGGCTGCCTCTTCCCATTCTTACCTGTGCTGTCTCCCTCTCACCTGCTCCCTCCCTCCAGCTGCACCAGGTCCCCCACTGTTTTGTGGACACTAGCCTCCTGTCCCTCTGTGCACTCATCAGCTGTTTTGATTTATCATTGTGTTCTGTTTTGTAGGCACAGCTTTTGTCACTCTGCACGTTTCTCCTCATCTTTTTAGCTTCTCTTTGAGAGAGGCATGGTCACATCTATTTTTATGTCCTTCACAGTGCCTTGTCCGTTATGAGTGCTCTGTAAATATTGATTTTGCTGTATTCCTGACCAGCTGAGAGTGAGCCTTCCCAGGGGAGTGGGGGGTGTTAAGTAAGGCCAGGAGACAACCAGGGGTACAGGAAGACTCTCCGACACAGTTTCAGGCAGAATTGCCACTCCCCCAGCTTAAGAGTGCTGTGGAGCAGAGAGCTGAGTTTAGGAAACAGGCTGATCATCCAGAATTGTGGAGTACATGGCAGAGCCCTGGGCTGCTAACTTGTACCCAATACTTACCTTCTGTGACATTCTGACTCTATGTCTTTCTCCTCGGGCTCCTTTTGCACATAAATTCCTAATCAACCCTTAGCCACAATGAGGGACACCCTCTTGAGGTCCCCTCTCCCTTGCTGATCCCCATTCTGGGTCCAGAAGGTTTAGGTTGCAATTGTGTTAAAAGAATGGAATGGGTAGAGCAAGCTCTAAAGATGAGTATCAGCTCAGAATTAAACCACAGAGAAAGGACATTTCCTGTGCGTGACTTGCAGTGTAAGGACAAGTTAGAACCTAACAAAGTCTGGAAAGCATGCACCTTGTCATTGTAACGTGCTGTTGGAGTTAACTTTTGTAGGACATGGATGAAATAAAGGTCAAGCCTGCCCAACTCATGAGATGGACCTGGAATGTGGCTTTAGGTCAAGGTGATCCAGGACACGGAAAGAGTATGGATGGACTACAGCGACCAGAAGCAAACCTGTAGGAAATATGAGGGTGGCTTTAATAAAAAGAGTTAGAGAAATTGATGTTTAGTGACTTGGATTAATAATGACACAAAGGTAGGGTAAGAGTTTTGCAAGAGGAATGAAGTGCTTTGAGACAGGGGCTCTGCTAGAATGCCGTGACACTGAAGGGGCATACCGTCCCGCAGTCGCTCTTGGTGACTCTTCCTGTAAAGACAGTTGGCCTACAGGAGTCATTGTGGTGAAAATATTTTACTTACACGTGCCTTACTGTTTGCAAAGCACGTTACTGGATCTGAATATGCCATACACAGCAGGTAGTGGGCCTGGGGTTTCAATTCGGTATTCTCTGTCCCCTTCTCTTCCTACCCCATCCACTGAGTGTCATAAAGCTCAGATGCAAGGAGAAGGAAGTGGGGAACTGTGGTCAGACCCAGTTCTCTGAGACTAAGAGTCATCAGATGATGTTAAACTCAGCATATGTTTCCCAAAAGGAAGGTGATTTAGGAAGGAGATCAGGTTGCAGAGATTGTCTTTAAAAGTTTGTTTTGTACATAACATAGCTGCATGTTTGAATGGAAAATAGTAGAAAATAATATCAGACATTAAAATTGGTTTTATATATTTACAAGGAGAAAAATAGAATGGTATCAGTCTGTAAACACAATTGAATAATAACAATTTTTCTTTGTGTATAATGTTTAAGTTTGAAGAGAAGTAAATTTAAAAGTGATGGAGTTTTTTTGCAGTTTCTCAGTAGAACCTGTTTGGAAGCCCTGCCCCATGATGCACTGCTCTTTAGTGTCATCTGTGATGGGGATTAGATCTGAAGTGTAAAAAGTTGGAACAGACTAAGGAGAAGAGAGAGAGACTCTCTAGATAAGTGAGCAAGAGTTGAGATTGATGAAGGAATGAGGTTAAACTAGACCGCATTTATCAGAACAGAAGCAAATGCCTGGTGCTGATCCCTGGAGCTGTGCGAGGCCAGGGCAGGCAGCAGGCCACGGTGTGCTCTTTGGGGAGGAACAGAGGCCACTGCAAAAAAGTAGAGCGGGGCAGGTCTGCAGGTTCTGCTCTTACTTCCACAATGTCTTCACTTCAGGAAGTAGCTGTTAGGAATCCTCAAGGCATTTGTTCTCCACTGGGGGACCCAGGAAGTTTGGTCAAACAGGAGAGAGCAAGGGTGGCCATGAAGAAGAAGGAGGGGGCCGGGTGGTGGGGTGGAAACTGTATTGTCCTGATAGTTCCAGTGTTCTTGTTCTCTCATGTTCTAGAAGGCTTACATCTTCTCCCATTTTGTAACTGACTCAGTCCCTCGGGAGGACAGGTTGTTACCGCTGCCCCGTAAATGGATTGCCTGGCAAGCCGAGAGCATTTTAACATGTAACAAGGGCATTTTGGTCTATTTAATAAAGTGATTTTAGAGGGACCATCTGTTTTTAAATTTTGGGGAGAAGTTCTGTGTAACATTAAGGGAATAAATAGATGTAGTAGCAGAAACATTTGAAAATGCTTAGAAACAGGACCATAACTGGAGATGACCAAAGAATGGGATTGGAAGAAACAGCCTCCCTAGTCAGAATTGCCTCTCCCTCACCTCCTACTCCCCCCCCACACACAGTCGTAATGTGTGTGCACGTTCACACGCACACACAATGATATATGTGTTCTTACTCAGCTGAGGCTTTCCTGGTGTCTCCACAGAACACTGCAGCTGTATCCAAGCACAGAGTAAAGACTCAGTAAATATTTGTCAAATGAATTATTCTGCCACCTGACAAAGCAGTGAAATTCATAAAAGAGCTCTTGTGTTATAGGCATTTTAAGTTATAAACCAGTCCCGAAGGGTCTGTGCCATTGGGAACGTGAGCTTTTTAATAGTTTTTGGCTTTTGAAAGCCAACCTTTTTATGAGAAGGAAAACCAGGTGAGCCCATTGTGTCTGTTTTCCTTGTCAGCTGTATGATTCATCCCAATGATTTACTAGGCAGTGGGAAGGTCCTGAGGAAGGCTTTAGA